ACCACGCCGGGAACCTTCGAGAAGCTTCTAGCTACTGCAGCGGACACAAGGGACCACGCAGGGATCCTTCGGGAGGCTTCTAGCTACTTCGGCGGACATACGGGACTACGCAGGGAGCCTTCGTGAAGCTTCGAGCAACTTCGGCGGACACACGGAACGGCGCTTGAATCCGTCGAGAAGCTTCTAGAGACGCAGCCATTACGCGACGCGTCTGCGCGCCACGCCCTCCATTGTATCTGGGCTCGTGGTGAACCACCTTCGGTACTACACGTGAGAGACACTCATTCGACATAATCTTAACCAAAGACCTAGCGTAGATTCATTTTCGTTGCGTTGGCTATTCAAAATGGCTAGCGAAGCCGACCTTGTTCAATTGAAAAAACGTCGCACCACAGTAAAGTCATCCTGCACGCGAATAAAAACGTACGTAGATTCTGTTCAAGAAGTTACGCGGACGGTAAGGGCACAACTCGAGGAACGCAAATTCAGGCTCGAACAATATTGGGCCGAATATGCCAAGTTGCAAATGCATATAGAATTATTAAACGAGACAGAAGCTACCGACAGAACTACTTTCGAGGATGCGTTCTACGAGTTGGCGTCCAAAATACGATACTTACTAGGACCCCCGAGCGTGTCGCGTGACAGTGATATTCCTTCCCAGACAACATCGAACTCGCTCGATACGTCGCGCCCGTCGTTAAACATGCGATTACCCAAGCTTGACCTTCCGAAATTTACGGGAAGGTACGACGAATGGTTCCCCTTTCGGGACACCTTTCAATCCGTTATTCACTCTAACGTTTCCCTCAGCGCAGTACATAAGTTACAATACTTAAGAGCCGCAACTAGCGACGACGCTCATAAAATAATAAGTTCTCTCGAAATATCCGAAGACAATTATACGGTCGCGTGGAATTTACTAAAAACTAGGTATGACAACAAGCGCGTCATAATCCAAAAACATATAAAAGCCATAGTCGAACTGCCGACTATGAGTAAGGAGGATGCGTGCGAGCTACGGCAAATCACGGACGGGGCAGCACGCCATCTTCAAGCGTTGAAGGCATTAAAACGCCCGACGGATAGTTGGGACGATCCGTTAATCTACTTACTTAGTGCTAAACTCGACGCGAATACTGCTCGAGAATGGCAAAGGTCACTGGCAGGCGATGAGCTGCCAACAATCAAACAATTTTTCGAGTTTCTATCTAGTCACTGTCAGGTTCTCGAATCGGCACAACAAGCCAACAGCGTAACAGGTAAAGGTGCTAGCTCTAGATCACACGCGAATACCAAGCAAAAGACATCTTGTCATACATCAGTCAATGTGAAATGTAACTTTTGTAAAGGCGAACACGCCATTCATCAATGCAAGCAATTCTTAGCACTCGCGGTCAATCAGCGCATAGAGAATGCGCGCTCTCGCAAAATCTGCTTAAATTGCCTGCGATCAACTGCTCATACCGCTGTTAAATGCCCGTCCGGGAACTGCAGAATTTGTTCTAAACGGCATAACACATTATTACACATTCAAGCCGCGCTGTCTAATCAAAGTGAGTCTACTGAGGCTTCTAAACAAGAGGCCAAGACGGACGCAAATCCCACGCCTAATATGGCTAGCGTTGTGGTGACGCACTCTTCTAATTCCGCCTGTAACCAACAGGCTCTTCTGTCCACAGCTATTGTAACCGCGATAGGTAAAGGTGGCTCGCAACACTCTAGCCGAGTTCTTCTCGATTCGGGATCCCAAGCTAACTTCGTAACAAAGGATTTCCTAAACACATTAGGATTAGTCCCTCGAGTAATGAATATGTCGGTATCAGGAATAAGCGGTACTACGGCTCAATCCACGCAAGCGATCCAAATCAAAATCCTTTCACGTATAAACACCTTTTCAGTCGTCATCGATTGCATCGTAGTCGATCGAATTACTGACGACCTTCCCGTATTTACAATGAAGCGATCGGAATTTAAACTTCCTCGCAATCTCCCCTTAGCTGATCCTAAGTTCCACATTTCATCTAAAGTAGATATGTTAATTGGTGCAGAAACGTTCTGGAACACCCTGTGTGTAGGACAGATCCGAGCGACACACGAACACCCACTACTACAAAAAACGAAATTAGGATGGATTCTAGCAGGCAGGTTAATCAATCATCCAGCGCACATACAACGAGTGGCGTCACTTTGCGCCTCTGTAAGCAATTCCGACTTGCACGAACAGCTCCATAGGTTTTGGAAAATGGACGAATTTCGCGACAGTTCTAAAACATATACGCTTGAGGAACAACGCTGCGAGAAGCATTTCGTAGAGACGACGACTAGAAACGACCAGGGTCGATACATAGTTCATTTACCGATCAAACAAGAAATATGTGCAGAGCTAGGCGAGTCGCGAACCATAGCACTAAATAGACTGCATGCCTTAGAAAGACGTTTTGATCGGGACGCACAGCTAAAAGAACAATATTCAAGGGTCATACGTGAATACGCGACTTTAGGGCACATGCGGCCAATAATAGAAACCTCTTTACACGAGTCCGGTACGTACTACATGCCTCATCACTGCGTAGTAAAAGAAAACGCTAAAAGTACCAAACTTCGGGTGGTTTTCGATGCATCATGCAAATCCGATAGCGGAATATCATTAAACAATTCAATGATGGTAGGGCCGGTCGTGCAGGAGGACCTCACATCGATTCTTTTAAGATTTCGTACGTTCCGATACGTATTAGTAGCAGATGTGGTAAAAATGTACCGCCAGATATTGATAGACCCGTCGCAAACAAGATTGCAGAGAATATTATGGCGTGACGACAAAGCGTTCAACGTGCAGGCGTTCGAGTTGGTCACGGTTACATATGGCACGGCGGCGGCCTCCTTTTTAGCAACAAGATGCCTCGTGGATCTTGCGGATCAACAAGAGAAAGAACTCCCACTTGGGGCTTCTCGTATAAAGCGCGATTTTTATGTCGACGATCTGCTCACCGGAGCAGACTCTAAAACAGAGGCAATAAACATTCGTGACCAAATAATACAGATACTAAAGTCAGGATCTTTCGCACTAAGCAAATGGGGCTCTAATTGTCCGGATTTAATAAAGGGAGTCGACGGTCATATCGATGGTCTCGTAACTCTCGACAAAGAAGGTAGCTTTCGCGTTTTGGGCATCGCATGGGACCAACGCGACGACGTATTCCGTTTTTCCTTTAACCCTGAACAATCCCCAGGAGTCTTGACAAAGCGATCTATATTATCAGAAGTTTCCAAACTATTTGACCCTTTAGGTTTAATAGGCCCTATTACCGTACTCACAAAATTAGTATTACAGGACTTATGGCGGGCAGGAGTAGATTGGGACGAATCCGTTCCCCAGGAGATTCATGAGAGATGGTCACAAATAAAACTGCAGTTAACCAATCTCAATCAGCTATCGGTCCCTAGGCAAGTCAAGCATCAATTCGAACCAGAGCTCGTGCAAATACACGGTTTCTGTGACGCGAGTGAACACGCGTATGGCGCTTGCGTATACGTCCGCACACGGGTGAACTCGAATGAGTACGTTTCGCATCTCCTGTTCTCTAAATCCCGCGTAGCCCCTCTTAAGGCGGTTTCTTTGCCACGCCTTGAACTGGCGGCGGCATTATTGCTGTCCCAAACGATTGATAAGATCAAATTGGCAATAGATACAAGGGCTATTAAAATATGTCTATGGTCAGATTCCACCATAGCGTTAAACTGGATAACCTCTCCTTCGCGTCGATGGTCAGTCTTCGTTGCCAATCGAGTAGGAGAGATCCAAAGGTTAACAGAAATCCCAAGTTGGCGACACGTTAGGTCTGCCGACAACCCGGCCGACATCATTTCGAGAGGGATGCTTCCTATTGAATTAATGCACTCGCGATTATGGTGGCAAGGCCCTTCTTACCTTACATCGCCAGAAAGTCAATGGCCTAGCGGCAACTTTAGTTTACTAAAGACGGGAATGCCCGAACAAAAAATAACTTGCGCGATAATAGCCTCTTCAAGTTCTAATTTCGTAAACGAACTCATCGACAAATTTTCTAACTTAAATAAGATTTGCCGAATCTTAGCCTATTGTTCGAGAGTGTTCAAACCAAAAAACAAAAAACCTTTCACTGTAGAAATATCCCCGGAAGAGAATTCTCACTCTCTGAATATTCTATGTAAAACTATACAAGTACAAGTCTTCGCGACTGATTACGAAAGCCTAAAGCAAAAGCGTAGCCTCGGTAGCGCGAGCAAGCTGATCTCTTTGTCCCCTTTCATGAATGATGACGGGCTTATAAGGGTAGGCGGCAGATTGAAGAACTCGGCATTAGCTTTCGATGCCTGCCATCAGATACTCCTACCACGAAATCACGCGCTAACCCGACGCATTATAGAATACGAGCACTTACGTAACATGCATTGCGGCCTGCAAGCCACTATGGCCGCGGTTCGCCAACGATTCTGGCCGTTATCTTTAAGATCTGCTACTCGTAGTATCATAAACAAATGTATTACATGCTTCAGGGCGAAACCAACATCATCCGAAGCACTGATGGGTAATCTGCCCACTCCTCGAGTCGCGGTTTCTAGACCATTTTCGCATTGCGGCGTAGACTATGCCGGGCCAGTGACCTTGCGAGAAGGAAATCGACGCAATTCGCGCAATCGCAAGGCCTACGTGGCCGTGTTCGTTTGTTTAGCAACAAAAGCGATACATTTAGAGGTGGTGGGCGATCTTACCACCGACGCGTTCCTTGCGGCGCTTAAAAGGCTCATATCCAGGAGAGGCAAACCGGCGTGCATGTATTCGGATAACGCTACTACCTTTGTCGGAGCTCAAAGACAATTGAAGGAATGGTACGATTTTCTGTCAACAAACCAGGTGCAAACTTCTATCGAACATTTTTTACGCGATCATCACACGCAATGGAGCTTCATCCCTCCCAACGCGCCTCACTTTGGTGGCCTTTGGGAGGCGGCTGTCAAATCAGCTAAGTTCCACCTGACTCGTATAATTGGTGGACACCACATAACCTTTGAAGAAATGCAGACTATCTTGTGCGAAATCGAAGCCATTCTAAATTCTCGACCTCTCGTGCCTTTGAGCTCCGATCCCAACGACATGTCATATATAAGCCCGGGGCACTTCCTAACCGGGGCTCCTTTGAATAGTTTCCCGAGTCCGGAGCTACTTGATGTTAATATAAATAGATTGACACGATGGCAATTGATAGAACATATGCGACAACACTTTTGGTCGAGGTGGAGTAAGGAATACTTAAATTCCCTTCAGGAGCGCCACAAATGGCAACGTTCCAAGGGATTGCAGCTGGAACCTGGTCGATTGGTTCTAATAAAACAGCCGGGATTAGCACCACTACACTGGTTAACCGGACGAGTGGAGCGAGTTCATTCGGGAACTGATGGAATAGCGCGCTCAGCCACGGTTAGAACTAGCAAGGGATCATACGACAGACCGTTGGCTAGATTGGCTATATTGCCTCTATAATTAAGCAGTCATACGTTACGTCAATTAATTGCGTTACAAGCCTTACCTTATAAGTTCATATATTCTGTTAATCACGCGTAGATGTAAGTTTAGTTACACATTACATTATAAGCCTATGTATTATTAGGATAACCCTGCTGAGTTAAACACAATATTTTATTTAATTAGCTATGCCTGTTAGCTATCGCTCTAGGCTTGTTAGAGCATTTTCCAAGGCATTCTTGTCACCTGTGAATTGAAGGGGAACCCTTCAAGGCGGGCGGCTTTGTTAAAGCATTAATGAGTTGATTTGGGACATGAGGCCCTTCGCGGTCATGTGCGATACCATTGGCTGGCGCAGCCTGATCATGCGCGGCCCTCCCTCCCCCCTTCTTGCCGTTAGTTATAGGCGAGGCGCACGCGGCGCACGAAAAAGAAGTTAGTTCGGTTGCGACATTCCTACGAGGAAGTTCACTGTAAGAGGCGTAAGCCTCAATACAAACAATAAAGACTGAACCGAAAGAACATAAGTGTCTTAACCGCCCGTTCCCGAGGACCACCAGACCGGAGAACACGGCGGAGAGCGTACGAGCTCGCAGGCGCCCTAGCAAACGAGCGAAGGTGCCACCTAACCACGAAACATCCGCAGAGAAGAACTCATAGGCTTGGCCAAGCTCTCGATACCTAGATGGTTCAACACTTGGAGCACCTCTTCTGTGGAACTGCAAGGCTTCTCTGACGCTTCTCAATTAGCAATGACTGCAGTCGTATACATCTCCGTTCACGACTCAACTGGATCCACGTCTTCACTTGTGTGCTCCAAAACTAAGGTAGCACCTCTCAAGCGGCTCTCAATCCCTCGACTTGAACTCACGGCTGCTCTACTGCTCTCTCGACTCATGCTATACGTCAAAGCCACTTTAAACAAGGACGTAACGGCAACTCACCTGTGGACGGAATCTCTAGTGACACTCTCATGGATCAGGTCTCATGCATCACGCTGGAAGGATTTTGTCAGAAACAGGGTGGCTCAAATTGAAGAACTCACTCCAGCTGCTCACTGGAGATACATACCTGGAACTTCCAATTCGGCTGATTGCGCATCACGAGGGCTCACGACTGCTCAGCTTCAAAACCACTCACTTTGGTGGACGGGATCACCATGGATACTCAATCCAGACTTATGGCCGTCGCAACCAGCACTCTCCGAAGAGTTGAGTGCAACAGAAGTTCACCCAGGCGTTTCGCTATTGACGGTTACGCCAAGGACTGATTCTCAATGGCAACTCATCTACAGGTACTCAAGCCTCACTAAACTATTGAGGATTACAGCTCTCTCTTTCAGATTCGTCTCACGGTTGAGGAAGGTCCACGACTCATTGCCTGTTAGACACATCTCTCCAGAGACCTTGGAGAAAGCGAGGCTCTTCTGGATTCAGGCAGCTCAAGTAACGTACTTCTCTCACGAGCTCAAGGCGCTACAAGCAGACTCACCGTTGGCAAAGGCACACGCATTCAACCGATTAACTGCGTACATCGACGCTCAAGGAGTCATTCGCGTCGGCGGACGACTCGCTCACGCAGCTCTTTCACTCGATGCGAAACATCCTACAATATTGCCTCGTTACTCTCAGCTATCATCATTGATCATCGCTCACGCTCATCAACGGCCTCTACATGGAGGCACGCAGCTTACGCTGTCGCACATCCGACAACAGTACTGGATTCTCGGCGGAAGGGCTCCTGTCAAGTCTTACATTCTGCGGTGTGTCACGTGTGCTCGGCAGAGGGAGATCCGTGCTCATCAACTGATGGGCCAACTACCCTTCTCTCGGGTTACGCAGACACGACCGTTCACTCATACAGGTGTGGACTACGCAGGGCCACTCACCGTCAAAACGTGGAAAGGAAGAGGTGCCAAGACCACTAAAGGCTGGATTTACGTCTTTGTCTGCTTCTCAACTTCAGCAGTACACCTAGAGGCGGTCAGTGACTACTCATCCGAAGGGTTCATTGCCGCCCATCGACGCTTCTCATCCAGACGCGGCATTGCTCACACCTCACAATCAAACTGCGGCACCAATTTCATCGACGCGGATACAGCTCTCAAAAGGCTGTTTATCCAGAGCACTCAAAACCATCAACGCATTTCTCAACTGCTCTCGCAAGACAACACCCGATGGGAGTTCAATCTCCCAGCGACACCTCACAGGGGAGGAAAATGGGAGGCCGTCGTAAAACCAAAAGTATCACCTACGGCGCACTATTGGAGAAGGCGTGCTCACCTTTGAGGAGCTCACCACATTGCTCACTCAAATTGAGGCAATTCTCAACTCGCGACCTCTCGAACCATTGAGTGACGACTCAAAAGACATCTCAGCACTCACGCCAGGTCACTTCCTCGTAGGAAGCCCTCTCACCGCCATACCAGAGCCATCACTCACTGACATGGCCATCTCAAGACTCTCACGATGGCAACTCATCCAGCAAAAGGCACCATAGGAACAACGAGCTCAAGATCGGATCATTGGTGCTCATCACCGACGAGCGGCTACCACCATGCAAATGGCCGTTAGCCCGGATAACAGCCCTACATCCTGGGAAGGATGGACTCGTGCGGGTGGTGACTTTGAAGACAGCCACTACCACTCTCATCCGACCAGTGATCAAGCTCTCCGTCCTGCCAATCTCATCATAAGATTAGGGATTATCAACATCGTTGCTGATGGCGGGCGGAATGTTCGAGATTAATTTGAATCTCGTTTATTTCATCCCCGGCGTGATGGCAGCATCAGCCGGGTCAGATCGTGCAGCGCCGCATGAGCGCTGCTCGCGCATGCCCGATCGCGACACGAGGCGACCGCGCGACTTCACGTACGTTTCCGGGGCTCTTTGTCTCATGGCGACCGTACGTAGTACACGCGTCTTGAAGTGCGGATAGTTATCCAGTGCTCTTTTGTGGACTTTCTCATCTTCTCACCTTCTCACTTTCTCATCTGCTCATCCGAGAATAGACTCAGTGAAAGACACAGTGAATCCATCAGTGCGGCTCATCCCGGACAGCTCGAGTACAGCATCAACGGCGGCTCAGACTCACCACGCACCGCGCACGCCGGCGCCGCGTGGACACGGCTCACGGGCATCAACTCACCAGGCCGGCCATCGATCAATAATATCGACCTGTGCACGTGAATACAGACTTATCATACCGAATTGACTTGTATCGACTTCTCAGATCTCACATTTACAGACTTTTACATTTGCCGAAACTTTCACATGTAATTCGTTAAAGTATTAAACCTGTGTCATTTCATTTTACATCAACTCGTCCGAGTCTTCAGATCACGTGATGTTCCACCCCAATTAAGCGTGCATTCGCTCCTTGAGTCTTGTCGCTACGTCCTCTCACCCTGCTTCCATCCGCAGCGGTACCAGCGAACTCTCCTAGCGAGAATCGCTAACATAGAAACATGATTATTTTTTATCGCAAGATTACTCAAATAAAACAAAATACGAATTACCTTCCCGAATTCAATGAAGATTGTGCCTTTGCAATGCGTTTGTCACGGTTCATGTTATATTGGGTTCGTGGTCTCCTTACACCATGTTCTTCTACCAATCTCGCAATATTTATTTCTTGATCGGTGATCAAACTAGTTAAATTATCTGTAAAAATCATATCATTTAAAAAATATATTTATGCGGTAATGTACAAAAGCCGTGATAATGACAAGCAATACATACGAAGAAATTTCCAAATATTTGGATGAATTCCAAATTTGCGAAAAATTGCAAAATGGAAACTCTCTACGAAGTTATTCGTCCGTATGGATGTACCGAAAACGGAGACTTTATCTTTCAAAGGTAGCCAAGTACGTCTCAAATAAACAATAAATTGCAACACAGAGGGATATTGCGCCGATAACGTATCGGCTTCTTCTTGAAGTATTTGCAATCCTTGCTCGAACATATTAGCCGGAGCCAACGGTAAGGCCATGGTAAGACCGAGAATCTTCCTTGGTGCTGCTGTTAATCGAAGGGCCTTCCAACGTCTTAATACGGCCTATACAAAGAATAATATTGAATGCAAACTAACAAACATACGAGTTAAAAAAGCTTCCAAGGTTACTAAATATTTCCATTTTCGATATTATAGAAAATCTATATATTATACCTGATTGAAATGAAACCAGCAGCCGGTTAGCCGCGAGTCCGGAAAAATCTTCCTTGCAATCGTCATTGCCGCGCGTTCATAATCACTCATGATTGAGCGGACTTCTCGCAATTTGGACGCAGGTCCTTTACTTTCCGCCAAATTGCATTATACACGCCCATTGTGCGTTTTTTACACAACGCAAAGAGAACAGCTATACCCTGAAATACATAGATATTCCAAGTTAAATCCCTGACATGACAGTTTGCTCCATCCCTGAAATTGAGATATTTGGAAATTCACATTTCATCTAGAATGTGCCACCTGTGAAGGTTGTGTTCATAAATAGTTTACACATGAAGCGTTAGAGAAAAGTGAATTGGTACACGTGAAATGTAAAATAATGAAATACATATTTTTTACATATAACTTACTGTATCCATATATCGTATGTGGATGGTGTATAGTTGCGTGAAGGATGGCATTGTAGGAACCACCTGCACACAAAAGTATACAATTTTTCAAAATGTTATGTTTCGACATCTTTTTGCTTTTCTCTTTTTTGTTGTTGCTATCGCTCGTATTAAATAATATCAAATCTCAAATATTGCTCACCGAAAAACCATCCATATAAATTTCTGTAGTTGCTGCCAAAGCATCTAGAAGAGCATCACTTGAAAATATAACTGCTCTATATCCCTCATCTGATAGTACTGTACCCTTAAAAATATATTGAGTCGGTTGATAATTCATTAATATCGTGTCAAGTTCAATGATGGTACGCGGTGTTTCCGGTCTTCGACGTAACTGTTCCCTATTGAGAACATTTCTCATGACGGAATAAGACATTTTTGCAGCCGCTACTGAA